AAAAAAAAAAAAAAAAAAAAAAAAAAGAAGAATAAAATAATGTCATTGTGGGAAAATGGATGGAACTGAAAAAATCATGTGAAGTGAAATAAGCCAGACAGAAAAAAAAGTGCTGCATGTTTTTCTCATATTTGGAAACCAATAAAAAGTAAGAGTCCAACAAGAGTATAAACATGGCGGGGGTAGCTAGAGATAAGGGAGGGTTACAGAACGAAGAAGGTCCATGGTAAAAGTTGATGCAGGTGTGAAGGCAAGTACAATTGTAGCTTGTACAGTTTGTATGTGTTAGTAATAGCTCTAAAAACGGAGACAAACAAAGACTCTCTGGAACAAGTATCAACCCTTCCCTCAGTGTATTGTAAGGAAGAAAAGTAAAGGCCCAAACAATAAATGATCCCTCATGTTAGATTATCTTTGTAGACTTTATTATGAATAGATAAAATATAAACTAAAATCGAACACCTATAAGAGCTCCTCAAGTGAAATTTAATCTCACGAAGCCACCTACAGCAGAAGCTTCTAAAAAAGAGTTTAATAATAAAACGTTGTGTATAAAGGATCCTTGGTGAGTTTAGAACTAGAATTAAAAGACAGACAAGAACACTGGAAACTTTCTGGTGAGCCCCGCTCCGGTGGCCTCACACCTGGGATTCCCCAGCAGTCCCTGCTCCCGCTTCCGTCTGGTTTTCAGCCCTTTCCTCCTGGCCACTGGCCTCTGCCTCCCTGGCCAGCCTGTCTGCCTGCAAGGCCATGGCTAATCTCTCCCTGGCTTTCTTCACTCTCCGAGTCTGTGTCCGGATGTCTGCAGCAGTGACCTGCCGGCTGGAAGAGGGAGGTAAAAGACACAAAGCTTCCGGGATCATCTCTTTCCAAAACGGAGACAGGCCGGGGGTGGGCTGCAAGCTCTCAACTCCAGACTGGTCTTGGGATTCGCCTGGACTTCCTTGAGTCAGTCTTTTATAGGTGTTTTCAAAATCCAGTCGGCTTAAACCTTCTTCGGTGCCTTGGTTCTTGACTGCCTCCAGCCTCCAGCTTGCACAGAGCTGATGCGGCTTCTCCAGCGTGGCCTTGTGTGGGCCATACCTGACCTCATTGCCGGGGTGGGCGGTGATGAGAGTGACCGGCCTCCGGAAGAAGCAGCTGGTCAGCCGCTCAGGGGGAGTAAAGGGTACAGCAGCTCTGTAATTGGTCTTGGGGCAATGGTCTTGTTTCTTCTGCAATTTCGGGGGTATCATGCTTCTTGTGAGCTTTCCCTTCAAAGACAAAATAACATATGAAATTTAAACAAAATGGGAGATGAAGACTTCCTTCAGCCATGGGGAATTTTCTCAGTTCATTAGGATCTTTCAGCCTCCCCTTTCTTGGAGAAAGATGTTTGAAATCACAGTGCATCACAATTACCCGGAAAGGTGGTTAAAACTCAGCTATCTGGAACCCAAGTAGGTCTGGGTGTGGTTCCATATCCAGGGCCAATGACAAAGCATTTTCCAACTGCCTTTGAGGGTACACTTCTCGTTCATGTCACTGGCGTTGTTTGCTGGTGTCCCTAAGCCATCCTAGTTTAGACACTGGTATCACAAGTTTCACAAGCACCGATTGACCTGCACTACCTAAGGGTGTGTAAGTGCATTCTATTATGTTCACGCAGCGGAGAAACTGGCAAACAGTGTGTCTCAGAACGGAAACCCATCTCTGGTGTTGCTCAGATGCATCTTTGCTTTTACTCACTAATAGTAGCAATTACAGAATGGCTTTCCTTAAAATATCACCTTAGCTGAACAACAGTTGTCATTTATCATGTGATGCATGCTTGTAGTCTCAAACTACTTGGGAGGCTGAGGTAGGAGGATCTCAAACTCAGCAGTTCAAGGCAATCCCGGGCGTATATTAATGCCCCATTTCGCAAACAAAACCAAAAGCACAAAACTCTCTGCTGTCTGCTGAATAAACAATACACGAATGGACACTTTTGTGACTTTATAGATTCTATACTCACCACAAAAGGCTGGCTTGGAATTGAGGGTGTTTCAGGATCCCCTGTGGTTTCTGGGCTTATACTTTCTGCCTCCATTTCTGAGATAAAAACAGGCTATGGCCTTCTGGAAAATGCAGTGGTCCCTCACCCGATTCCCCTTCTATTAAGGAGGAAGAAGATGAGCCAATCAGAGGACAAGCCAATCAATCACTATGTTGATAATCCATAGAACACATTCAGATGTATTCCTGGAACTTAATGGATCCTTAAACCTTCATATAAAACTAAAGTATGTGGAGTTACTGATACAGCCACATAGTGTTGATAGGTGAGATTTTAAAATACATTTTTTGTGGAAGCAACCCAAATGTCTATCCACTGAGGATTGGATAAGAAAATTGTGGTACTTTTATATAATAGAATATTACTCAGCTGTAAAGAAAGATAAACTCGAGGCTTTTATAGGCAGATGGTCACAACTAGAGACGATACTCATAAGCGAAATAAATCAAACATACATGTGCAAGCACCGCATTGTTTCTCTAGTGTAAAGCCTGAAAGAGTTAATTTAATCTAGGAGATATGATAGACATTGAGAATTGATAGGAAAGCACTCATAGGTAAAGGATAACTGGGATATGGGAAAAGAGAAGGGAAAGAAGGAGAAAGTTTGTATATATGTATATGCAGGATAGTTAACACGGGTGTTCTACTGTCCTGTATTTCCTTGCTGAAAGAAACTGTCAGTGAGGCATTGGTTGATTAGCTTTGTATGTCTATATGTGTTTTCATGAGAAACTACATTGAAGATATCAATATGTAATACAATAAGCATTGTTAATTCCCTACCACTCTGTTTGTAACTCTGTAATGTGTGTACTGATCCTATGCTATTTTGTAAAATGTTGTCGATCTGTTAGTATTTTCCTCCTTTTATTTCTAAAATTAAAAAAAAATACATTTTAGTAGGTTGAATTTGCACTTAATAAAGACATTGTATTTTATTGAAATTTTAAAGGTTATACTTGACAAATGATATATTAATAAAGTGCAGTGTGATGCTTTGATCTACATATACATCGTAGGGATTCAATTCAACTAGTGAGGATGTCCATCACCTGGCCGATTTATTATTAATATCAGCATTTTCACCTGCTTCCATTTCTCCCATCATATTCTTTAAAAATTGAAATGGGAACTTGTATGTGCATAAATTTTCTTACCAAATTGCTTAATGAAGAAAAATTAGTCTCTCTATAATTTCCTCAATAAAATATCAAAAGTATTTATAAATGTATATATGATATGCCACACAGCTACTAAAAGAAATTACTATTTTGTGCAATAGCATTTCATGGAATTACTGGCAAATCTGAGATGGCTTCAGACATCATACCTTTTCCCTATACTTTAATTTAACCGATTATTTTGATTAATTTCTTTACTTGCAGGAGTGAATTAAACAGTTTATTTTCCATTTTTCTCTTTTAACTTGTGAGATATAATGAGATACAGATCTGTGTATGTATGCTTATGATTAAATCATAGATCTTTTTGTGATGAAGTACACCTAAAATGTACCAATAAAATCTGGTTTAAAAAAAAAAAATAAATCTTAGATCTTTCACTTGATATACTCTAATACAAATATTTTTACTACCTCTTCCTGTTGGTAATAACTTAGAACACTCAATTCTACTTTTCTTCTCTTTTGTATTATTATTATCATACATTTTAATTATACATATATTTTGATCTCTATAAGGCATCGCTACTATTGTTTCATATACCAGTACAGTATTCATTTATTTTTATCTGTACCTTATCCTTTACATTCCCTTCATGCCTCACAGTTTTCATCTGGAATTATTTTCTATTAAAAATTCCTTCTAGGGAAAAGGAGAAAAAGAAAGAAGGCAGGGAAAATACATATATA